CATGAGAATTATGTGAGACATTTATTTAAAACAGAGCTATCTCCTGCCCTGTCTTTAAATGACTGATTCAGCAGATGTGGGATGAATTCTAGAAATGTATCTCTTCAGGTCATGCTGCAGCTTCTCCACACCGGGACAATACCCCTTACAATATCCTCATTAGCTTTTGATCCAGTCCCATAGCTCCCAGAATGTTTTCCTCAAAACACTGGTCCCTTCAGAGAACTTTAAAAATAAGTTCTGTGGTCAAAGAAGTTTGAGACTTACTTCCCATCAGATGCCTCTGTCTAGGGATCACAATTCATATTAGCACAGTGAACGCTGTAAAAACTTCTCTAGGAAAGAATAATTCTATTCCAGCTTTAAGCCAGTGTTTTCTAAACTTATGTGAGCACATAAAATTTCCTTTGTAATACTTAGTAAGAGTTTCCTGGAACAGGAGATCCTGATATTAATTGACTCATTGTGAATACTTCCTTCAGCCCCCTTCTAAGGCAGAACAATATTTTTTTCCTTGCAAAGTGAACCTCTAAAGAGATGTAGGTCTGAGCATTATGCCTCGATCAGTCTGTAAAAATCTGGGCTCTGTTTGGATACAGACCGTGAGGGACCCTGTCTCTATTGTTCAACGGTGGATCATCTAAAGAAAATAAATCGAACTCTGTCCATCACGGATCAGCATTCCTAGTATAGAAGCTTCAGGAGGTGACCTCATTCAACCTCACAATCTTCTACGTTTGAAATTTTTAAAAAATATAATTCAGTATACATCTTCCTGTATTTGCCACTGAATGAAATCAATCTAATTTTTCTAACTCAGGGTTTTCAAGATAAACCCAAATTTCTCAAAAAAGAAAAATGTAGAAAGATTTCAAAATCCACCACCTACACACTTAAAAGTCGTAGCAGCTTCCTATGCCATGGGAAACATGTCATTTTGAGATGATGTTTTTTTCTAGGTTTAAGTTTGGTCTTAAACATTTATATTTAATTTCTTATTGTCTTAATTCGATGAATTTACTTTTATATCGTAAAATAGATTTTTACACAATAAGTGAGTGTCATATCATGTTAGATATAAAACTATGTCCCAAAACTATTTTATACTGTTTTTTTGTTTGTTTGTTTGTTTGGTTGGTTTTCTTTGGTTTTGTTTGAGACGGAGTCTTGCTCTATCGCCCAGGCTGGAGTGCAGTGGTACGATCTCGGCTCACTGCAACCTCTGTCTCCCAGGTTCAAGCAATTCTCCTGCATCAGCCTCCTGAGTAGCTGGGACTACAGGGGCGTGAAACCATGCATAGCTAATTTTTGTATTTTTAATAGAGACAGGGTTTCACCATGTTGGCCAGGCTGGTCTCGAACTCCTGACCTCAGCTGATTCACCCGCCTCGGCCTCCCAAAATGCTAGGATTACAGACATGAGCCATCCTGTCTGGCCTATTTTATACTTTTTATACTATTTATATAGTATAAAAATAGTTTAAAAACTATACTATGCCATACTTTTCATAAAATAGGTTAAAAGTAGACTATAGTATAATTTTTATACTATATACCATATTATATTTTTATAACTGTTGTTTCCATTTGCTACTAACTTTTTCTTTTGTATGTGAGTTTCCTGATTTCTATATTTTCTGCAGGTCACCTGCAACATAAAAAGAAAAAGAAAAGTTGTAATAATGATGGGTGGCCTACTGTGCAACAAGATTTCCATATAGTATTTTTGGTGTCCTTACATGTATGTTTGTTCTCGCGGTGGATGTGTAGTCAGAGCACAGATGGGCATACTCTCAAACCTTAATAACTGTGCCAGATTGTCCTCTGAGTTTATTCTAAACCTTAGGAAGTCAGAGACCACACTATGGAACTAACTTCTTTCTAAATTGCATGACTGACTGATAGGAGATTTCCAAATAACATTTTGACTGCCTCACATCCAGGAAAAGAACTCAGCAAGGAGATGCGGGCTCTTTTTTGGTTACAAAGCTGGAGGCATCACGCTACCTGACTTCAAACTATACTACAAAGCTACAGTAACCAAAACAGCATGGTACTGGTACCAAAACAGAGATATAGACCAATGGAACAGAACAGAGTCCTCAGAAATAATACCACACATCTACAGCCATCTGATCTTTGACAAACCTGAGAGAAACAAGAAATGGGGAAAGGATTCCCTATTTAATCAATGGTGCTGGGAAAATTGGCTAGCCGTAAGTAGAAAGCTGAAACTGGATCCTTTCCTTACTCCTTATACGAAAATTAATTCAAGATGGATTAGAGACTTAAATGTTAGACCTAATACCATAAAAATCCTAGAGGAAAACCTAGGTAGTACCATTCAGGACATAGGCATGGGCAAAGACTTCATGTCTAAAACACCAAAAGCAACGGCAGCAAAAGCCAAAATTGACAAATGGGATCTCATTAAACTAAAGAGCTTCTGCACAGCAAAAGAAACTACCATCAGAGTGAACAGGCAACCTACAGAATGGGAGAAAATTTTTGCAATCTACTCATCTGACAAAGGGCTAATATCCAGAACCTACAAAGAACTCAAACAAATTTACAAGAAAAAAACAAACAACCCCATCAAAAAGTGGGCAAAGGATATGAACAGACATTTCTCAAAAGAAGACATTCATACAGCCAACAGACACATGAAAAAATGCTCATCATCACTGGCCATCAGAGAAATGCAAATCAAAACCACAATGAGATACCATCTCACACCAGTTAGAATGGCGATCATTAAAAAGTCAGGAAACAACAGGTGCTGGAGAGGATGTGGAGAAATAGGAACACTTTTACACTGTTGGTGGGATTGTAAACTAGTTCAACCATTATGGAAAACAGTACGGCGATTCCTCAAGGATCTAGAACTAGATGTACCATATGACCCAGCCATCCCATTACTTGGTATATATATCCAAAGGATTATAAATTATGCTGCTATAAAGACACATGCACACGTATGTTTATTGCGGCACTATTCACAATAGCAAAGACTTGGAATCAACCCAAATGTCCATCAGTGACAGATTGGATTAAGAAAATGTGGCACATATACACCATGGAATACTATGCAGCCATCAAAAAGGATGAGTTTGTGTCCTTTGTAGGGACATGGATGCAGCTGGAAACCATCATTCTTAGCAAACTATCACAAGACCAGAAAACCAAACACCGCATGTTCTCACTCATAGGTGGGAACTGAACAATGAGATCACTCGGACTCAGGAAGGGGAACATCACACACCGGGGCCTATCATGGGGAGGGGGGAGGGGGGAGGGGGGAGGGATTGCATTGGGAGTTATACCTGATGTAAATGACGAGTTGATGGGTGCAGCACACCAACAAGGCACAAGTATACATATGTAACAAACCTGCACGTTATGCACATGTACCCTACAACTTAAAGTATAATAATAATAAATAAATTTAAAAAAAAAAAAAAGAACTCAGCAAAATACAAATAAATGTGACAATATCTTAGACAGGAAATCTTCTCATCCCACAAGAGGCAGGAAACTGCTAGAGGAAGCTACCTTGGAGAGGATTCTTTCCTCCCCTCCCGAGAGGAGCTGAACTCAAAATCTCTGCATTTCATAATAGACATTAGAGGAAACATTTCCAGCAGTGGATTTGCACTGGTGTTTTGTCCCCTAGAAAAACGTTTCCTTCGGGTAGGTTCTAATAAGCCCCATTGGGACACTTTGGATTTCCTTGTCTGCTCTCTGCCTCTCTAACCTTAGAGGGTCACTTGGAATCAACTCATATTTCAGGTCCTCTCTTCCCATTTCTGCTGCCACACAAGGAACCCAGATTACATCAGAGAGAGGCTGAGCTCCAGAGGTTCACACCAGGAGCTTACTCATTGCCACGCTGTTCCTGCTTCCTGACAGGTTCACTTGAACCATCTGGAGATTGGGGAACAAGGGCAATCTGGGTATTCATGAAATTCAAATAATGCCAAGCATTCCGGGATGGTAATGAGAGATGTTGTCTCAGAGGTGTGCTCTGTGGCTGTCTGGGTTTCTTAATTGTGCATCCTGCTGGGGTTAAGAACAGAAATAGAAAATGACAATTGTCTTGCCTCTCCTTCCCTCAGGAGGTGAGCATGCAGGAGGTTTCATAGCCCAGTCCCTACAGAGAGCCCTGAACTGCCACCAGACTGAGCCCATCAGAGAATAACACCTCCTTTGCTGAGGATTCTCATACATTTTCAATCAGAAACAGAAGCAAAGATTCTGCAGCTCCCACTGAAACTCCCAGAAACCTTCAGGTGCTTCACCCTTCTGAGATCCTTGAGTCCAAATGTGGGAGCTAATCAGATTGCCTTTCTTTACTTTACCATGAATTCCTCTTAGACATGTTGTAGCTCCTAGGCTTTGGTTAACTCTCACTCTGTTACTGAGGCTTTTTATTAAGTATTGAGAAGGGAAGTAAATTATTTCTTTTACGGCTAAACATATATGCTCATCATTCATATTATATATTAATGGTTCCAGGGAAAAAATAGATGCACATTTGATGTGCAAATTATGTAAAAGTGTTTAGGACTTGGCTATATATGTTTCTTTGGTGAAGAAATATCTATGTGATAGAGATTTATTTGGGAAAGATGACACTCACAAAAGAAGTCAGAAATTGCTGTTTCCTAGATTTCGCTAAAATGTACGAAATAATTTTCCCAGCCAAAGGAAAGTATAGCACAGTATATTATGGAGGGATGTTACATCTCAGGAAAATTAATACATGTCAGCTGTTTTATGCATTTAATTATTGTCAGTACAGTCACAATACATGCTAATCTATGAGAATGTATTTAGTGCAATGAATATAAACCCAAATGATGCTAAATAAGTGTCTTATCTTAAATTGAGCATGGCACTAAAGAGGGCATAAGGCATCTGGAATGTACTAAATAAATATGTATAAATATTAGATTTTCCATAGACTGGAGGATAAGTTTTTGTGGTGCACATGGAAAGAGTACAGAAAAAGAACTGAGGTGAGAAGGGTGGTGTAATAAAGTAGGAAAATGATGTAATAATTAATAATACCTTAAGTTTTCTTTTTATAGGATTTTTGTTTAATGTATACTTTTTTATGTATTTCTGCTTTTCCTCCCAAGGCACATCTTCACAATGAAATCTTCACAAGCTCAGAACCATCAACTTGTTACACTGTGCTCCTCCAGTGCCCAGTTCACAGGAAGCACTCAAGAGTAGGATCAATTGTTATCAGCCTTTACCAGATTATTGAATAGACAGTAGTTACATGAAACTGACACTCAGTTCTTCATGGCCCACGATAGTTCTTATATCCAGAAAACTTACTTAGATTATCAACTATGACTCCATAAGACAACTTTGCGAAGTCTTGGCTCATAACTATGTAAGCAATAAGATAAGTCAGTTTTCATTTCTCGCTTGTTACTTACAAGTAAATAGCCCTGCAGCTCAGATGAGCTACAGATTAACTATAGGTAATCACTTTAGCGATTCTGCTTTACCCATGCCCAAAATGTTAGAAAAGAACCGGACAGATCATTAAATTTTGAGATTTGCTTTTTAAAATGCGGGTTCCATAAAGTTATGTTGTTTTGCTTATATATAAAGAAGCAAATGCCTTCTTAGATACTTACTTTAAAATTCTAGTTTCCTTACCATGTATTAACCAGATAATCTGTCATTTTTTAAATTCTGAAATTGTACATATATAATGTACATCTCTGTGCCTGAAAGCTACATTTGGAATTAGAAGGTGTGTCAAGGTAGAGCAAAATCACCCAGTCCATTCCTTCCAACTCCCTAGAAATCTACTCTGTTTGGTTTCCTCTTGATGGTCTTTAATTAACATTAAGTATATCACATAGGTATCAAATAAAATTTAAAAAAAGATAAAAGAGAAGTGATTCAAAATTCAAGTGTTTAAACACTTTATGAATCCTCCCGTTGTTCTTGACACATTTTTAAAATTTCATTTTAATTCAGATCATTAGGGATGAAATTCTTCTGAACTGTAGCATTTTATTTCTTTTGGGAGGAAGGGGCTAAACTTGGCATAATTATATGAGACTATACTATAAAAGAAACCAGATCTAATATAAGGACATCAATACTTAGTTATTAATTCATTTGCTTATATTTATGTATATGTCATTTGACAAATGTGTATTAATATACACAATTAAAGGGATATAAAAATGAACATGCCCCCTCTATTTCTTTAAAAGAAATCAAGACTGAATCAAACAGGACTGCTGTTCTGAAAGAATACGCAGACTATCAGGTACCTTATTTTCCTTCTTTTACACCTGTCTTTCAGTTGGCTTCAAAAAATCACGGTTTTTACTGTGTTTCTTTTTTCCTTTATGTCTTTCTTTTGAGGGAAATGAAAAATTGAGAAAGGAAATTATTGTTTTATAAGTGGGTAGGTTTGTATACATCTTTCACAGTCAAATATTTTTCTATGCCTTATGAGTTTAAAAAATAAATTTAGAAAGTTTGATAAACACGTGAATTTTTTATTTTATGTTATTTTATGAGATGAGGGCTTGCAATGTTATCCAGGCTGTCCTGGAACTCCTGGGCTCAAGCTATCCTCCTGCTTCAGCCTCCCAAGTAGCTGGAACTACAGGTGCATGTGACGGCGCCTACTGAGAAATTTTTACTATCAACCTAAAATTTAGTAAGTTCTGGTCAAATGTGAGGAATGTTTAATATATTATTTAGATTATTTTTGTGTCAAGGTAACTTGATCACCTATCAATAATGCTTATAAGAAAATAGATATCTCATCTGTTGCTGTTAGAAAGGATCTGTCTCTTTCCGCAATTCTTGCTTCAATGAGGTTTCCTTGACCCAGAGTCTGGTCCTCACATTTTAGATTCAGCTTTAGGAATTTTGTTCAGGAACTGCATCACACTACCCAAAATCAAAAGAGGAAAATGCATAAGCCAGAATACCTAAACATTCGTTTATTTAAACTTCAAAATGTAACTGCAAAAGGAGCCAAGAACTTTACTACTCAACACATTTCTTCTTTGTAGAAATAACTGCTCAAGAAGATAAATTATTACCTAACAGTTAATTGATGAATATGAAATCAGAGCAAGAGGGGCTAATTAGAGATTTTACTAGCTAGGGCTATTTACCCAAACCATCTATCCAGACTGTAGACATAGAATCACCAGGTGACTAGGATCCTGGGGCAGCTGGTTCCCTTTTTTCCTTACCCTGAATGTCATTAAGGATGCATTGCCAAATGCTGCCCCTCTGGCCTGATGACTACACTCCGTATTGGTTACCTGCCTTCTTTTTCCTACAGTCTTTCTCCAGACAGGCATACCATACAACTGACTACACTTGGGCTCACTGAATGAATCACATTCTTCTGCTCTGCCTCCCAGAGATTTCATCAAAGCACCGGCAGTGGCCTTCTGGAAGCTCCTCAAACTCTCCACTCACATGTTTCCTGCAAGTGTAGTGTTTCTCACCTCTAGATTGTTATTCTCATCAGTTACATGTGAGTTTCACAAATTTATTTCTCAGAGTGCAGGTCTGTCTCTTACATCCTTGGGAAACACTGCTTAATATCCCAACTGGTATTGACAACAATTAAACTAGGCACTGGCCAAAAACAGTGCCTTTCCTCACTTTAATCTCAGTAAAGTAGATAAGCCTCGAGTTATTTTGTTATTGCAATGGCACTGACAAATGTTTGCACCAAAAACCATGTTGAAGTTCGTTAAGGAAACTGTGATCCAAGATTCAAGGTCAAGAAGACAAATTCATCGATTCAGCACACCACCAATTCACAGGCTAAGCATCTTACTGTGAATTCGTTGATGCTGCCATTTGTCAAGTGCCAAACTGAATTACTGATTTGTCAATAATTTCTTTCTGTTGGTTACTTACATAGTATATTGCAATTCTTGTTGCTGAAGTTAGCTACCCTTTTTCTATTCGAAAAATAATTTCTTGCATTTGGGATTTCAGGTATAGCGATTGTTACAAATATGAAGGACTGAATTAACAGCAAGTTTTCAAGTAAAACTTTACTTATGTGTAACTGAATGAGTTATTGAAGACATTTACTAACAATTTTCCACAAACTAAAAATTTATAAAACAATAAATAAAATAGACTTTTTAAAAAGTGTGTCACATAGTTACTTGTTTGTTTGTTTGTGTGTTTGTTTAGTTTTTTCACTAGTGAAATGGTGAAAAATCAGACAACGGTCACAGAGTTCCTCCTGCTGGGATTTCTCCTGGACCCAAGGATTCAGATGCTCCTCTTTGGGCTCTTCTCCCTGTTTTATGTCTTCACCCTACTGGGGAATGGGACTATCCTGGGGCTCATCTCACTGGACTCCAGACTCCACACCCCCATGTACTTCTTCCTCTCACACCTGGCTGTCGTCAACATCACCTATGCCTGCAACACGGTGCCTCAGATGCTGGTGAACCTCCTGCATCCAGCCAAGCCCATCTCTTTTGCTGGCTGCATGATGCAGACCTTTCTCTTTTTGAGTTTTGGACATAGCGAATGTCTCCTGCTGGTGGTGATGTCCTATGATCGTTATGTGGCCATTTGCCACCCTCTCCAATATTCCGTCATCATGACCTGGAGAGTCTGCATCACCCTGGCCATCACTTCTTGGACATGTGGCTCCCTCCTGGCTCTGGTCCATGTGGTTCTCATCCTAAGACTGCCCTTCTGTGGGCCTCATGAAATCAACCACTTCTTTTGTGAAATCCTGTCTGTCCTCAGGCTGGCCTGTGCTGACACCTGGCTCAACCAAGTGGTCATCTTTGCAGCCTGTGTGTTCATCCTGGTGGGGCCGCTCTGCCTGGTGCTGGTCTCCTACTCGTGCATTCTGGTGGCCATCCTGAGGATCCAGTCTGGGGAGGGCCGCAGAAAGGCCTTCTCCACCTGCTCTTCCCACCTCTGTGTGGTGGGACTCTTCTTTGGCAGTGCCATCGTCATGTACATGGCCCCCAAGTCCCGCCATCCTGAGGAGCTGCAGAAGGTCCTTTTTCTATTTTACAGTTTTTTCAACCCAATGCTGAACCCCCTGATTTACAGCCTGAGGAACATAGAGGTCAAGGGTGCCCTGAGAAGAGCACTGTGCAAGGAAAGTCATTCCTAACAGGCTGTGACATTTGAACTGCCAACCTCCGTTGTCACCTGCACTCTTGATGCCCAATTATTGCATCGATCCAGAAAAGTTTATTACTTTCTTTTTATCTGTGCTTTACTGACAAAAGGGCAAGCCTTTTCTCTTTTTTTGCAGATAAAATTTTAGATATGTTGCATTCATTGGGTTTCTATGAGACGTGGTTTTATCAGATGATTTTTTCTTTTATTTCACAATTACTTTAATATCTGTAAACTAAAAAATTATTTTAATTCATTATCCCAGTCCCAAAAGTTAAATGCAGGCCACTTACTTCTTTAACCAAATGATACAGTTTGGCTCTGTGTTCCCACCCAAATCTCATGTCAAATTGTAATCCCTGTAATCCCCACATGTCAGGGGAGGGGCCTGGTGAGAGGTGATTGGATCATGGGGAGGGATTTCCCCCTTGCTGTTGTCCTTATAGTGAATGAGTTCTCACAAAATCTGATGGTTTAAAAGTGCAGCACTCCCCTCTTTGTTCTCTCTCTCCTGCTCTGCCATGGTAAGACGTGCCTTGCTTCCCCTTTGGCTTCTACCATGATTGTAAGTTTCCTGAGGCCTCTCCAGCCATGTGGAACTGTGAGTCAATTACACCTCTTTTCTTTATAAATTATCCAGTCTCGGGTAGTTCTTTATGGCAGTGCGAAAGTGGACTAATACACCGAACTATATAAACTTACTAATAGCATATGTCATAAGATTTAAAAGAAAATAAAAAGGTTCAGCCAAAGAAGTGATTCCCACAACCCAGCAGCACACTTGTCCATTCTCATACAATTGCACTTTCCCTGTTAAATAACAATTCAGAGGTACTTAGTTAGTTGTGATGCATGCACCGAGAAATTTTGTGTAAAAATTATTAACTCACGTACAGGAGTTAACTAGTAGGCCGAGTGAAGCAACAAACGTAAAAGAAGAGATAAGTCAGGCACGGTGGCTCATGTCTATAACCCCAGCGCTTTGGGAGGCTGAGGTGGTTAGATCACTTGAGGCCAGGAGTTTGAGACCAGCCTGGCCTACATGGCAAAACTGGATCTCTACTAAAAATACAAAAATTAGCTGGGCATGGTGGTGCACGCCTATAATCCCAACTATTCTGGTGGCTGAAGAATGAGAATTGCTTGAACCTGGGAGGCAGAGGTTGCAGTGAGCCAAGACTGCGCCACTGCACTCCAGCCTGGGGGACAGGGGGAGACTGTCTCAAAAAAGAAAACAAAAAAGGAAAAGAAAAAGAAGATATATAGGGTAAAAGAGAGAAGAGAAGCAAAAGAACCCTACAGATCGTGTGGGAACAGTGAACAGTGTTTACAAAGTTCAGGGTAAACTCAGTAGCTAATAGCTGGCAAAGAGGCAAAACTGGGCATTCCTGTTGAAAAGGCTGAAAATGAGCAACCAAGAAAGCTATTTAGGTTGTTTATGGCTTCTTCAGAAAATACTGAGTGTTGAGCTGTGTATTGTACATATGCACATCTATCTCTAAGCATGATTCTCCAGTGTCTTTTCATCAGCTCTTCCACCTTGGTTAGTCCAGTTGTGGATCATTTCCCTCATTAGAATGTCTTACCCCTGAAAAAGGAAATTTCACCAGACAGTGTTGGTATCTAGCTAGCTCTTTAACCATGGTGGTAAAGTTATTTTTGCTGATCCAATCTATTGTCCTGTTAAAAGGTAAACTGAGGTACAATAAAATTTTAAAGAGTTTACTTGAGCAAATAGCAATTCATTAATCAGACAGCTCCAAACTGTAAGTGGTCCGTGGGCTCCACCAAGGGAATACAAGGGGAGGGCTTTCACAGGGCAACCATGGAACTAAAGCAAATATTCGATTGGTTACCTTTATACAATTGCCTTAATTGGCCTATACTGCTGGAAAGTCTCTAGTTATATAATTTAGTTGGTAGCTTCTGATAGGTTAATCTTAAATTTCATTTTGCTTTAATACAAGTATTTATAAGAAATAGTTCAAGTTAATTTTCACTTGTGTTTGCAAATAAATCTGGGTTAGGTCACTTATGAGGCCTAACTGGCTTTCCCTGCTCCAGGAAGTGATTCCATAAGTGACCTAACCCAGCCTGAATCATCTAAGTGATTCTCCATGTCTGGTTTCCATTTTAATTTTCTTTAACAAATCTTCGCTACAAATCTAATGGTTAGAGATGGGTCCCCATGCATTTTAGGTGGCTTCCCAAAGTGTCACCTGTAAATTCTACTTTCTAACCTTCCCTAAGATTAGGATACCACTTGCTTCCAGGGTCTTTCTCAATTTTACTATATGAGAGTCTGTAAAATTTTTCAGAAAAATAAGTGTATGCCTTTCACTTAGGGGTTAACAAGTACTCCACCCAACTCTTCATTATTCCCTGTGACTGAAGATACCCAGGTAGAATTTATTAAACGAAAAAACAAAATGAGTTTTCATAATAATAGCTAACATTTTGACTCACCACTCAATGGCATATGCTACATATTAAGAGCACTTACATGGGTCACTTCATTTAGTCATAACAAATCCAGGAAGAAGGTCCTATTGTCACTATTTTATGTCTGCACAAACCAGAAAGCAGCAAGTGTCAGACTTTTCCCTAGACAGTCTGGCTCCCAGCCTCTGTACATAGCACATCAATGTAGAATTTTAATATCTATGCTATCAAATAAAGGATAAGGTAAATGTATCCCAAGGCAGAAGTGTTAAAAGAAGGAAGGTTTCTGTACAATCTGATGTATGCCACAGGGAGCTGATCTGTTCTCTCTAAGGCATGGAGGACCAGAGATCATGCAGGAGAGGCTGCTTGTCCTGGATGGTGACTCCTATGTGCTGAGTCACATGAAAGCATTGGACTTCTAGACAAATGCAGAACATGAAGAAGATGAGATTAAAGGTTGTTCTCACTGAGACTGACTATTTAGTTCAGCTAAGACCCAGAACCAAGACACCCATAGTCTCTCTCTCTCTCTCTCTCTCTCTCTCTCTCTCTCTCTCACACACACACACACACACACACACTGAGAGCTTATTTACTTTGTGCCAGTCACTGCTCTAAGAATTTTACATGTATTACCTCAATTAATCCTCAAAATAACACTTTGAGTCAGAAGATAATCAATACACTACCTTACATATAAAGAAACTGAGGCACAGAGAGATTAAGCAACTTACCCAGTACCTCACAGCTAACAAGTACCCAGTCCAGGATTGAACTAAGACAATCTGATCCCTGACCCTACAGCCATAACCACTATACAGCATGGACTCTATAGAGCATATCTGAGGATAAAGATCAGAGAACTCGTGACGGTGAAACAAAACACATAATTAAGACTAAACTATGGATATTCAGCTTTGGATAGAAAGGGGTATACATCTTCTAAAGGAAGCAGCTTGACTCTAAACAGAGATGTGAAAAAAGTGGGAGAGTGGTCACAAGAAAGAACTGTGACTCCAAGGGTCAGGGATGCATGGCGGGAGGACTCTGGGGTTGAGCTGGAGAGTGAAACAGACAACACTGAAAGAGAAGATGGACACTGCAGTGTTACAACAGTGCCTTACCAGCTGATGAGAATTAAAATGGATGTTTTATAGTATTTTATCTAAAAACAGCCCCAAGACAAAGGAATTCAGTTTCATTATTGATATTAAAATGGTTATAATCTTTTGGGTAGTATTTACCTGAAAGTTTACCTGACAACATTGCTCAGGTAGGTATCAAATTTCACACCTAAGATGGGGAGCTCTGCAACAGTAGGAAATGGAATCTGTTCATTCATTTATCAGTAACACAAGCATTTTGCCTAGCACTAGTAGACACTCACTAAGCACTAGTTGTACCAATTCATGCACCTTTAACTATCTGCTGAGTACTTAGATACAATCATCAGTGTTAAACTGTCTTCTGATTTCTATATTTTAAAAATCCTTGGGCAGGGTGCGGTGGCTCACGCCTGTAATCCCAGCACTTTGGAAGGCCGAGGCAGGCGGATCATGAGGTCAAGAGTTCGAGACCAGCCTGACCAACATGGAGAAACCCCATCTCTACTAGGAATACAAAAATTAGCCAGGCATGGTAGCATGTACCTGTAATCCCAGCTACTCAGGAGCCTGAGGCAGAAGAATTGCTTGAACCCAGGAGGCGAAGGTTGCAGTGAGCCGAGATCACACCACTGCACTCCAGCCTGGGCAACAGAGCAAGAGTCCATTTCGGAAAAGAATAAAATAAAATAAAATAAAATAAAATAAAATAAAATAAAATAGAAATAGAAATAAAAATAATTTTATTTGAAGAACACAGAATTGTAGAAAGTAATTGTAGCTTAAAAATTATTTAGCACTTGCGTATGAGACAATATGTTACATATTTTTTATATAATCCTCACATCAACACTGTGAATTCAGTACTAATGATATTCTCATTTATAGAGGGGAAATTCAGGTTTAGAGAATTAATTAATTTACTCAATGTCATAGAAATATCAAGTGGTAGAAACAGAACTGTAGTCCAGTCAATCTACTCTATATTAACTGAGAATCATTCTTTTGGAAAGGGCCTATTGATATTTGTATCTTCAGTGGCTAGACCAGGCCAGTTTCATAGTAGTTACTCAATAAATGTTGACTAAATAAATAAATGAGTAATCATGTAGTCCACACTTCTATATTTTTAAAAAAGGATCTCCATAAAATATGTAATTAAATACAGTGGCAGTCAATGTAATCACTTTTAGCTCCAGATAAATTCAGCTTTTGCAAAAGTTTCTTCTGAGATGAATATTTAAACTACATCTCATCTGTCAGTGGCCACAGAGAAACTGTAAACACATTCAGAGAGGATATTTTGAGGCTAATATAAAACTAGGATGATAAATATTTGTTCCTATTATATAGAACAAAGGTTACAGGTCTTTCAAAAAGAGTGTCCCAAATTGCCAAACCCTATAGTTATAGTATGACACAACATGATTGTGCTGACACAGTAGCCATGGAGAGAGTGTTCCCCTCCTCTCTCTTGCAAAAGAGTAAGTATTAGATGCTGTAATTACTGAAAATGATACAGATGACACTCTGGGAGTGGAAGTCAGTTCATGCGCCACCTTAAATTGGCCCCCATGGTGTCCTTGGTATGCAGAGTGAGCACTGCCATCACTGACCTGTAGGACTATTCTTTACTCTTTGCTAGATAATGTAGACCGGTGTTTCTCCCATGTCAATGTGTATGTTAATCATTCAGGGATCTTGCAAAAGTACAGGTTCTGATTCAACAGGTCCAAATGAAATAGGCAGAGATTTGCATTTCTTATCATCTCTCATACCTTGCTGATGCTGCGGATCCACAGACCACACTTTGAATATTAATCATATAGAGACTCATTGTTAAATCTATGGTTCCTAAGAAAAAGTGAAGGTCAGGCACAATGGCTTACATCTGTAGTCCAGCACTTCGGGAGGCTGAGGCAGGAGGACTGCTTGAGCCCAGGAGTTTGAGACCAGCCTGGGCAACATAGTGAAACTCTGTCTCTACAAAAAACTTCAAACATAAAAAAAAATTAGCCAGGTGAGGTGGCACACGCCTGTGGTTCCAGTTGCTTTTCAAAAGCTGAGATGGGAAAATTGC